GTTAGTAGATTAGATTATCTTATCTTATTAAGAGAGACTTATCTTATTAGATTAGGATTACGAGAGACTTATCTTATCTTATCAGTCTTATCTTATCAAGATAGAGCTGGAGGTCTCCCTATTCAGCAATGAGTCTCCCTAAGAGCAGGACTCTTGTAATCTCCTATTTAAGGAGCCACTATTATTGAATGAAGGCATCGAATTTCAGTCAAGAAAGGGAGTAAAAGGAGAGTTAGGTGATCTCTTGGACAAATCACCCTTAGGAAGCCAAGATAGGTTCTGCAAGAAAGGGGAGGAACAAGGGAAAACATGAGGTTTTCCCCGTGGACCGACCCGTGACGAGATCCTATTCCCAGGCCCATAACAGTCTCTATCACCCATTCACAAATCTCATGTTGTAGAGGAAGTGTTAATTCCTGCTAATGTAAGGCTCCAATGAGCTAACAGGCCACGATACAACCATAAGATTTTCTTGTTCCCAATGGAGATAGGATGCATCTTCAAACTTGGGCTGTTTTTCCTTACCCTTAATGCAGCCCAACTTTACATTTCATCCAATATACAGTTCAGCTACAGGAGACCATTCCAGATAATTAGTCTCATTCAGCCATACTTTAGTTATTGTTTGTTCAGACTATTGTGACCAGTATTTATCCCCATACCATGCTTCACTTCCAAGAGAAGTTATTACATCAATTGATTATTGCATATGATATTTTCTCCACACCAATTTGAGTGATATCAATCATTGTTTGATCACTCTGAAAAACTAAAACAGCCATCTCAAGTCTTTTACCAAGGGTCTGTGCAAAAAAAAACAAAGACGAACAAAAGCTTTCCAAGGCCAGCTCATATGCTCCGGCACAACTTATATTGATTAGGAAAATGAAAGAGATGTTAAAAATAAACATAAGGAAGAATCAATTTCAACCCAATTGTCTTAATCCACCAAGGGGGTGTATATTATCTTTTATAATGAAGGTTAAAATTACAGATTTGTCTTCATTTAGGTGTAAAATGCATTCTAATGAAAAAAAGGATGAGACTAAAGGGATAGGTAGCAGGAGCTAACCTAGTTTTGGTATTGGCCACACATTCATTAATCCTAGCATTCATTGGCCACACAATAACAATAACAATAACAACAACAACAACAACAACAACAACAACAACAACAACAACAATAATAATAATAATAATAATAATAACAAAAACATAGGAGAAACAACCTAAAAAAGTGAAAGGCCTGTGGTTAGCCAGTCTAAGGTGTTCGTCAAAACTTGATTCCAGACCCTATTCTAGAAAAGGTCTGAGAAAAGGCTGGCCTCTTAGAAATCCAAGTAATTAAAGTCAGAAAGCTCAGGCTATGGCTAACCTTGACATTTATTTATTATCCTTTCTCCATCCTGACTAGTGTGGTGGGCACCATTAGAAAACTGTAAAATGGCATCCTTTTTCTCAATTGTGTTGTGTGGCATCTGTGCCTGTGTAGATGATACACATATGGACTTTATTTGGAGAAGGTGGAAAAAAGATTTAAAATTTTCATTTAGTTTAGAAGTGCACTCTCTGAAAACTTCTAGGTTATCAGGCATGAGACACTAGAGAATGGTGAAAAACCTCATTGATTGGGAAACAGCATTGGCACTTCAATCAAAAGTTGGGCATCCTTCGGAAGTTCAGATAAGTATTACTACATCTAAGAAATAAGAAAGAGAAGGCGGCTGCCTTTCTTATCTGTTTTTTTTTTCCTGAAAGAGTAAGAGAAGAAGATAACTGGTGTGTAATATAATATATGGAAAAAAGGGGTTGAAAATAATGCAGAAAATATGAACATACATCCCATTCAAAAAGGGACATTACCAATGTTGGTCCTGTCCATCTGGATTCTTGGGAGTGGACTGAATACTCTCAGACACAGACCTGCATTGTCACATACAGCTCATCCCATAGCCAAAAAAAGGTTGGATAAAGAGCGCCCTATATGAAAAATTTTAGTCCCCACCCAGATCTAGCAACCATCCAGTCATCCACCACTGAACTATGCTCTCTTGTAATCCATCTCATCTGGGCTGATCTGCCCACTGTTGTTTCTCTTGATATATTTAGGTCCTGCCATGGTGGCCAATCTCCACAAGCCACATCACTACACAAACTTTATATTTTTCCTCACCTGCTTTCATAGTCTTTGTTCTCCTTGATGTCTAAAGAGGAGATGTGCAATATAGCAAAGTAGGTAACGTGCAATATTGCAGGGAGCCCTTAATGGAGGTATTTCCTGATTTGTGTGCAATGGCAACAAAAAAAAGATTATTCCAAACTTGATTATTACAAAATTTTATTATTAGAGGCAAGAATATTAGTTGGAGACCATTCTTCAATAAACCCCAATGCTTGGAAGTTTGAATCAATGGAATACTTATCGCGAGAACCAAGATCAAGAAAGTGAACCTGAACCCTCCACCCAGAGAATGGAAATGGAAACCCACCAAAATTTTCACCATTCAATCTTTCTTCAAGAAGCTAAATAGCTGGTAGTCAAGTCCTACAAGCTTGTGTGCAAAGCTCCTGTGAGTTCTAGCATTACATTCTCCATCTGGGCAGCAATCTCAGGGAAATGTTCAACTGTTGATAAACTAGTTAATAGATGCAAGGACATTCCAAATCTCTGTTCTTTGCAAATAGGTAATAACAGCAAATCACCTGTTTCTTCCTGCATATTTGCACATCTTGTGATCTTTATTTGTGCAAAACAGCTTATTTAATAACCTTTTGTTTTCGTGTTGTTATTTTGGGAGGGTGGGTAATCCTTTTGTATGGCATTGTGCTGCTAATAAGAAATGAAATGAAATCACGGATAAAATAAACTAATTTGTACAAACTGAAATGGAGATTAAACAAGTAATCTGCATCAGTTTTTTAAAAGGTGTGTGAGGCGTACACCTGGAGGCGCCCCTAAAATACCCTCAGGTGTATGCCAGAGGTATCAGTACCTCTGAGGCATGCTAGAGGCATACGCCTCACGTGCCTCAGGCACACCTTATACAAAAAGGCATAAAAAAAACAGATAAAAGAACGGAAAAAGAAAAGAAAGGGAAGAGAGAGAAAAAGAAAGGAAGACAAGAAAAAAAGAGAAAAGAAAGAAAAAAAAGGGAAGGTAAGAGAAGGGAAAGAAAAAAAGAGAGATTAGATCCTCCTCCCTCTTCTTCCTTCTCCCCCTCCTCCTTTCTCATCCTCCTCTCATGGAAGCTTACGTCTCTTACATTCTGAACTACGCCTCACCTCCAAGTAATGGAATGCCTCACGTCATGCCTCCACATTTTAAAACATTGGGTTGCATTTTAGTAACTTAGTTGTCAAAAAGTTACAAGTTTATGCCCTACTTTAAGCAGAACCAGTAATTCTTTGGTAAATTGTGAAGAATGTGCAAATATTTAATAAAAAGAAGCTAGCTATGCAAGGAGGCAATCATAGAAAATATTTCTATGAATATGGTGCATTGGGTTAGAACATTGGCATCTTTGCACACTGTTTAATGGATGCAGCTTGGGTAATCAACACTATTCAGGCACTGGACATGTATTTAGCAACAGTCATGGGACTGTTGTAGCGGAGATACATGTCTTAAAAGGGTCCAATTGGTCTTGGTGACTCTACAAGAGCTGAGATACATGTCTTAAAAGGGCTAGTTGGATAAAAGGCTGAACAAGAAAAACATTGGGGTGGAAGGAGATTCTGAAGTAGTTGTGGGTTGGCTAAAGAATAATCGCCAAGTAACATGGCAACAATGGCAAACATTGAGTGAAATCAAACAACTAGCTTTTTTTTTTTTGGTTTTTTAGGTCCCTTGGTCAGCAAATAGCTTTTTCTTTTGTTCTGTGGGTTCCTTGAGCAGCAAATGGCATGGGTTATTCACTTGAAAAGCAAGGGGTGAACAGGAGAATAACTATTTTGGAAGGTAATCAATTAAAGCTGCATGTAAAAGTAAAGAGTGGGATTACATAGTGATGGTTAGCCTAACAATGAGGGCCAACTTCATTGGATATAACATTCTTTTGTCATAATCAATAAAGTTTCCGATGTTAACAGTAAAAAATGTTCAACCAGTAATTAACAATTTGAGAGATATTTTAAAGATCAGTGACCAAGAAAGAAGAGGCCCATCAAATATTTGAAAGAAATACATGCTTATACATCCTAACTAACAAGACAATAGATAAGATCAACCTTAACAGTTGGTGAGACAACTTATATATCTACCTAAAGCTCTTACCTCTAATAAATCCTTCTCTAGACGCTCTTTCAACTGCTGCATTGATGCTGTCCCACCAGCAAGCTGTTTATAGGAGAAAGTGGTATGAAATATATAAGACCAAGAAAGATGCTATGAACTGTAATTAACTGAAGAATACACTATTTGGGTAATATATATTATGGAAAAATACTCGACGCTCATCTTTTGTCATACTCCATGCTGATTGATGAAGGATCTTTGTATAGGCTGCATTTCTTAGTTATTTTTGCAGTTCAAAAAAAGGTAGTAATAGGATGGATGATAAAGGGGAAACTACAGTCCTTGGATGCAAGTCTGTGCCATTAGAGAGGCTAAATCTTTGTCACTAAGGTAGAACACCTCGTTAAGGTAGGTCCAAAGATCAGTAAACTCTCTAGCAGATCCTTGGCTAGATAAGGGGCATATAGGAATGAGGTTTATTCGGGTCCTTATGAAGGGGGTAGGATACCATATAAGCATTGGATATTTTCTGGTACAGAGTTGTCGACTTCTCTCAACTTAGCAATTGGAACATCTTATATTCTATACTCTATCCTATATTGAATAAATCACATTCATCAAGAATAACCCCAGGTAATTATAGCTAGAAATAACTTTGCTTCCAAAATTCTAGTGCCAAGGTAATCAAGAAGTATCTAGGTTGATAAGCACATAAGAAATCAACTACCAATTACGTATATGGGGAAATCCATGACACAAAACAACACAAAAAAGTAGATCATTAGAAATTATACAAGAAAATGTACAAAAACAAGGACACTGAAATGCAAGGAGTGTTTTAGAAGCAGACTATAAACAAATTCATGGTTGGAAAATCATTAACTTTTTGAAGGAAGAACTAATTCCATTTTCTTGTTTGAAAATCTTTTTGTTAGAAGTCAAGGATTGGTTTTCTAATGTATTCTTGGCTTTGTACATACCAAATGTACAGCCCCCAGTTGTACAAGGGTTTCTTTTTGAGTAACATGATATTTTACCTTACTCAAAAAAAAAATCATATATATTATATACAGGAGTCTTAAATTGCCTAGTGAAAATATATTACTCATGATACTACAATTTAAATTTGTCAAAGTGGTCTAACAAGAAAATATTTGACTAGAAGAAAACAGCCTAAATGCATTAGAGCATATCATTACTTTTATAGTTCCTAGAAAACGGCCTAAAAAAGTATGTTGCCACACCGACACATTTGCAAGCTTTATCCGCTCAAACATGTTTGTCCCTAACCATACAATGCCAACAGATGTTCAGTGGATAAGGACGACTCTTAATTGATAACTTAACAGGTAAGTCACAAAAGCTTCATCAAAACTTCTGTAGCCAAAAATGTTCCAAGAATCACCTTCCACCACAAGAAAGGGAATATGGAAGTTTGTGGCAAATCTCAGGTCTAAAAGAAGAGAGATGCAGTATTTCACCTTTGATGAAACACAGAAGTTGCTAAACCATATGAAGCTTCACCTAATACTTCCATGTTTCCATGTAAATATTTAGTAAAAACAGAAAGTTAAATCAACTTACCAGTATACTACTGAATAGTTCTCTTCGGATGTCCACATCACACTTATTTATACTTTCAATAACCTGAAAATAGATTCATAGAAAGTTAGTTAAACAGTTAAACAGAAATAACTATTCAAATCCAGACAAGATCATGATCATGCATAATAATACAACGAAGGATATACCATTTGTGGAAGCCCGCGAATGGTAGGATTAGACTCAGAAAAACTCTCCATACCAGGAATTATCTACTCATTCAGATAATAAATAGAAAATTCAATTAGTTGGAATTTCAATGGATTGAAAATAATAATAAAACATCAAAATATGTGGCCGTGTTATTAAAATAAAAATTTGAAAATAGCAAAAAGATAAACTTATACCAACCAAGGGTGTGTTCCCTATGTGTATGATTTTGTTTTTCAAAACAAAAAGAACCGTAATATCAGCAAAAACCATATGATTTCAATGATGTAGCTGTTGTTTTTGTTTTAGAAAACAACAGCATACATATTGGCAAAGACCCCCTAAGCTAAGAAAGAAGAAAATTTCCCAATTAAGCATTTGGATATTTTATTAGGATAGCTAGAAAAATTATGTCTGCATCTGTCTGCCTAAAGAGAAACAACCAATATACTTTACTCAAGGTCTTCACATTATTAAAAATGTCACTCATCCATTAAACAGGAAAACATATCTTAGTCACTACTACTCACTACTAAAAATCAAGAAGTACATGCAGATCAACTCCCACCAAAAAATCAGTAAGACATGGAATTTCAAGAGATCATCATGTGTCCATGCAAGGCAGATCTGGGACTAATATCAAAATGATAGTGCTGCATTGACCAATCATAGAACCCTATCCAATAAGTAGAACACGTTAGCAGTCCACTCTCAGGTTGGAAAGAAAGGATCAGAGAAGGATCCTTCAGTTCCTGGTTCTTAAAACAAGCATTCTTAAGACCAAGGAGTCAGGGAGAGAAAGGGGGAACCTCTCAGCTCCTGATTATCCTGTTGCAGGATCCTCCAGAAACACTTCAGAATACGGATCCCAACTCAGCACCTTGTGAGGTGTTAAGAAGAGTAGCTCTTTGAAGAGCACAGTACAATGAAAATTGTGAGCCATGTTTGGGGGTCTTATTATCTATCATTGAACTCTGGTAAAATTAGCTGGGGAACCTAAGAGCTGGTGCATAATCATGTACAAGAAAAATCTAAACAACCCATTCAGTAAGCGTGGCTGTAAGTGTGTGCCTAGGGTTGGTATGAAAAAGAGTATATACCTTTTTTTAAGAAGAAATTTATGAAAAAGAGTATATACAAAATCTGGAGTGTTTAATCTTGGGAGCCACCCACCTGAATTAAGGAGGGATTAAATAGAACATCAGGAATCTTGAATCTATCAGCTCCAATTTCTAGTGTCCTGTATTAAATCATTCAAAGAAAAGGTTATAGACAAAATAAAAACAGATACATTAATTTAAAAAAAGTGTGGCCACAGTGAGTCGGTGACATAATTAAATGCATGCATGCATACATACATGCATACATATATAAGCAATTAGGAGTGGACACAAATCAAGCTTTTCACAAGCTATTCGAGCTCGGCTCATTAAAAGCTTGAGTCGCCGAGCTTCGAGTTGAGCCCGAGCCCAATAAAGTTCATTTACATATAAAAAATAATATATATTATATATATTATAAACAAAATATATTTATACAAATATATAAATAAAACATAAAAAGAGTATATATATATATATATAATATTTTTATTTTTTATATGTATAAATAATAACTAGTTTTCATAATTCTTAATTTTTATATGTAAAACAAAAAAAATAATTTTTTTATTTTTATAGGAAGTTTGGCTCACAATCAAGTTCAAGCCTTAGAGTTTTTTGGAGAGCCTAGCTCAAATAGCTAGACATTTGGCTCGGCTCGGCTTGAATCCACCCCATTCAAGAATATATTAGTATATAGATAGTAAACCTTGGTAAAAAAACAAATCACATACTGTATTAGGTACCTCATAAAAATTGATGCAATACATAAAATCAGAAGGAACTTACTGTCCATCAGGAAGCTCATATGATGTCATTGGAACATTGGCATATGCAGTCTCTGTGATAGGCAAAACCATAGAGAAATTTTATACATGAATATCCAACATGTACCACAGAGAAATTTTATACAAGAGATCAATAGAACTCCAAACGAAATTTTAAAACAATATATATTTTAAAAGGGTACAGTCTAGAAAAGCATCAATACGAATTTTATCAGAACAAATGACAAGTTCATAAATTAATTCCTTCAGTTAGAAAAGGACTCCAACAACCTTGTGACCTAGAACTCCATTTCCTAGCTTCTCCTTTTCATTGTACCCTCACCTTAGCTGGAAAGAAATAAACTACAGCTAACAGAAATAAAACTTTTTTTATAGTATAAGAAAAAAATTATAAAAAAAAGAGAAAAAGGTACAAGGTTATAAGAAAAGAGAAAGATAACACGCAAAAACAACCAGCCATGTGACTCTGCATCACATAACCACCAGAACCTGATTTTCTGCTGCAGCACTTGACCAGCCTCCCCCACCCACCTTCAAGCATGTCTACTTAAACCACTTCAATCAAGACTACTCTAGAAAATCCCAAAAAAAAAAAAAACATGGAACTTTGAACCACTCATGGCTCTTAAAACTCCAACATGGAACTTTGAATCACTCGTGCCTCTTAAAACTCCTCTTCAGCCTCCACACATACCCAATTCCATGTGAACCATTTCCAACATTCGTTCTAGCCTATGATTCCATAAAGGCTTTCCTTGTAAACTCCCCACCCAAACAGAACAATCCCAATTAACTTGAACTTCCACATCTACAACTCTCTTCACCTCCAAAATTTTCTCAACCATTCTTACCTGATTGAAAGCAGCTTCTGAATCTTCTTCACATGTTCCTCTGTATCATCCAAACCAGTCTCCACTTCCTCCCCCTGATGGTCCTGCCATTTCTCTGCTTCATCCTTGCTCTCCAGCAAAGTCAGCTGATCTAATAAATCCCGTTTACCGCATTCCTTTTGACTTCTTACTTTAACCTCCGCCCTCTTCCTGATATAAATCCTATTGATTTTATTGTTAGGCCTTGTGCCAATGATTCCTTCCTTAAGATGTGAAAAGACATGTGTTACATGTACAAGATGAAAATTATTTGCCCCTTTTGGTTTCTTTGTAACCAGCAAGTCATAATCTTCTTTATGTTGGAGCTCCACCCACTGTCTCCCCAAATCCTTAACAATTTTATCAACAGACACCACTGTCAAAGACCCTTCAGATTCTATATCTAAACCAACCTCTTCCTCTATAATCTGGGAATATCAGCACCTTTGACTTCAAACTCATCATTTTCAGCATTTATACCAGCATCTTGAAGATCATTCCTACTATCTGCTGAACTAACCACACCAACAATTCTGCTTACCTCAGTCAACCCAACTATGATGTGTTGTACCAACTTTGAGCCCTGAACATCCAAAGCTCTTGAGGAACAACCCTCTGAATCCTACTTCTCAGTTGCACCACTTCTCAGTTGGTGACCACCATCACCAACATCATACTTAGATTGTTGAGGGAGCAAACTGCAGGAACCAACCTTCAAAAACACCCTTCTCTGAACCCCAAACAAATTTCATAATAATCTATTCTCATTTCCTCTTCCCCTTCACATTTCTAAACTCCCTTGGACCTGTAAATTGACTCATCTTCCATTTAAAATAACCAGTGTGAAATTCCATTATTACCCCTCCATGCTTTACCCTTCATTATCAATTCCTCTTTTTAAAAATTTCTCACCTCTAGTATAACTAATTTTATATCCTTTAACCTTCCTCCCAACAGAAATAAAGCTTATGGAGGCCAAAACAAGAAAAAGAATTAACTACATGAACAAAATAAACAACATTTGCCAAGAACCTATAAAAATGGAGAGGATCTAGACAAGGTGTTGGAGCAAACAACAACATAATATGGAGCATCAGGGGCCCTGCACACACATTCTTTGATATCACAATAAAATATTACAATAAAACATAAGAATATTCTCTCTTCATCTCTAACAAAATAAATATTACTAAGCAATAGCAAAACATGCAAACTAGGTAGTGCATTTGATAATGAACAAAGTAGATGCTCACGATAACAAAGGGAAGAACAGAGAAAAAGAAGAAAACAGCACAAAATATTGAGGCAGTTGGCCACCAGGTATATATTCTAGGTATGGAAGGGAATCGAGAGAGAGAAAGACGGACCATCGTATAGAGCATCAGGGGCTCTGCACACGCATTCTTTGATATCACTTACAATGACCCTCTGACAAAATAGAAGATTGTTCAGCAACAGGACCAGTTAACTTCAGATCTCACGAAAAATGAATATCATGTTCAAATTGTGACATACCTGGGAGTACAGCTTGTAACTTTCTGTTGTATTTGGAAAATCTAGATCTACTATCTGTAAAATTCAAAACAGAGTAAAAAATTAAAAATATAATAGAACAACATATGAAGGTATGAAAAGAACAATGTGAACAATAAAAATAGTAGATGGTGTACATGCATGCTTGCATATATAGAATATGGGTCGAGGATTTCAAAGGTATTTCCTCAGTAAATTCATTCTTCAACAAGGTAACAGGGGTAACAGGAGGAATTGAACTTTTTTGATGAACAATGAATGACTTTATTTATAGATTAATAGCATAAAAGATACACAGAGAAAGTTCCCAAAATGAGGCACAAGACGCAGCCTCAGATTAAAGCAAAGAATTACAGTTTAGCCCAAAACATCTAATTCCTATGCACCCCTTGTTTAGCTAGTGAATCTGCTAACCTATTTGCTGATCTTTCCCATTGGAATTGGACTAACATGTTTGTAGTTAGCCATTTGAATCTTCGTAAAGCCCCTTTATAGGACCAGGCTGCTGTTTATGGTTCTTTTAACCACTGATCACAAATTTGGTATCACCTTCGACTAACAGCTGTTCACAATTCAGTTCTTTGGCAAATTCAGCTCCTTGTAACACTGCTTGTATTTCTGCATTGACTGAATCCCCTACTCCTATAGGGCCAGAATATAAAGTGATGATTAGACCCTCTGTATTTCTAAACACTTCCCCAAAAACAGAAAGACCCAGATTGCCTAAACTGCTGCCGTCAAAGTTGAGCTTAATGATCCCCTCTTGTGGAGGTTTCCATTTTGCTGGCGGTTTAGGTCTTGTACTAGAGCTTATGGCAACCACTTCCCAATTTCTCCACAAATCATCAAAGGAGAATGGAGAAACTAGTTCCAAGGTCTTTACACAATTAATGGCTCTACTAATTAAGCATTCCCATATAATGATCCCATTCCTCTCCTTCTCATCAAAGACTCTGCCATTTCTATCCTCCCAAACAGTCCAAACTAGTGCAGCCCTAGCACACTCCATAAGGCTCTACCTCTTTTTCTTAGGCCACCTGAAGGTTGTAAGTTCAAATAGATTGCTAATCTGCATTGGCATTGTCCACCTGCACCCAAAGAGACTAAAAAGCTTTTCCCAGAGACCTACAACAAAAAGACAAGATATTAGTAAATGGTAACAACTTTCTCCATTTGCTTTGCAGAGGAGACACCAATTGGGGGAGATACTGAGACAAGGTCTTCTTCTTTGTAGGTTGTCCAAGGTGTTTAGTTTCTCAAGTGAGGCCTCCAAACAAAGAGCTCCCATTTTGGGGGGAACAGGTTTAGACTAGATCTCTTTACAAGGGAATGGCTAAGAGCTAGGGACAGAACATAAGGAAGAGAAAAAGGAGGCACAAGAGAAGGTACACGAAGGATTAAGGGGTCAAATACGAGCATCCGGTTTAGAAGGGTCCAAACAGATAGGATCAAGCAAGCAAAGTAATCGTGTTGTCTGGTCAAGCTCAGAATCTCAAGTCTTTCCTGAATCCCAAATCCCAACTGAAACCTGAAGTCAAGGAGAAGGAGACAAATCTTTGAACTAGTTCATTTTTAAAGCAAGAGAAGGAATACAAGGGCGGAAAAAGGTCCTTTAGGATTGAACTTCCAATCCATAAATCCTCCCAAAAAATAACCCTATCCCAGTGCATACATCATACCGGATTAAGTTTAAGAATTGTGGAAGAACACCATAGATTGTCTTCCAAGGAGAGTTAGCCCTCCGAGAAATGCCAGCATCCCAACCATTGCCTTCTGCTTCATGAATACTCCCTACAACTTTGCGCCAAAATCGTTGCCTCTCCAAAGCCATTTGCCTAAAAGAGCTGAGTTTTTCTTCCCTAGATTACCCAATCCTAGACCCCCTTACTCCTTTTTCTTGCATACTACCTCTCATCTAATCAAATGATCCTTCCTTCCCTCTCCAGGGTAAATTGGGAGATTCGCTAGGGTGGATTGAATTAGAGTAATTAGACCCCCAAGGGACACATACTTTCTCTTCGAGGCCACCAGTTCCTTAGCACACCTTTCCACCATGAGATTCCAAAAACTTCCCTCCCTAGGATTGGCTCCCAATGGTAAACCCAGGTATCTCAATGGCCAATTAGATGTCAAACAACCTAACGCCTCAGCTACCTCACCCAATTCCTCCTCTAAATTCAGCCCCACTACATAGCTTTACCACTCCTTTCAAATTCCTTGCTACCCAAGGGTCCCTAGTCTCACAAAGAGGATAGTGTCATCTGCAAACTGTAGGTGAATAACAATAACAACCTCTCTTCCAACCCTCCAACCTCTAATCAAATTCAGCCTGTCCGCTAGTAGCTAGAGATGTAAATCAGTCCTCAAATATTAGGTGTAAATTTGAAGATTAGAAGAAAAATGAAGAAGAGAAGTAAGAGCAGCAGCACAAGAGAAGAAGATGGCGAAAAGAGAAGGAAGAAGAAGAAGAATCGAATTATCTTCCCTTTCTCCTCTAATCCTATTTTATTAAGAATTAAAGTTAGAGTAATGACAAGTATGCCCTTAAATGGGCGGCCAGCTAGGTAGTAACATAAAGAGATTAAACAAAAAGAAATAACAGGCCCATTAGCCAACAATAAAAGAAAAGATATTACAAGAGAAGATACTAGAACCCATTCGGCTCAGTCTCTTTACACTCCCCCTCAAGCTGAGCATAGATGTCAATCATGCCTAGCTTGCTTATATAGTGTGTCATTTTCCCTCTTGGAACTCCTTGGTCAAAATATCAGCCAATTGCTCATCTGGTGTGATGAATGGCAAACAAACTTCTCCTGAGGAAACTCTTTCCCTTATAAAATGTCTATCAACCTCAATGTGCTTAGTTCTGTCATGTTGAACAGGATTATGTGCAATGTTGATAGCTGCTTGGTTGTCATAGGTAGAGCATCATTGGCTTCTCGTAGTCAACCCCCAATTCTTCTAGAAGGGATCGTAGCCACAGTAATTCTGACACACTATGTGCCATTGCCCTGTTTTCTGCTTCAGCTGAGGATCTAGCAACTACAGACTGTTTCTTACTCATCCATGACACAATGTTCCCAGCGACCAAAGCACAAAGACCTGAGGTGGATCTCCTATCATCAATACATCATGCCCAATCAGCATCAGTGAAAGCTTCCAGCTTCATGTGTCCATGTTTAGCAAACAGAGTACCTTTCAAGTAACACAGAACCCTTTCTGCAGCAGCTAAATGAGTATCTCTAGGAGAATGCATAAATTGACTAATAACACTTACTGCATAGGAAATATCTGGCCGAGTCATGCAAAGATATAACAACTTCCCAAGCAGTCTCTGAAACACCCCCTTATCAGACAAAAGCTCATCATCTGTAGCAGAAAGCTTATGATTAGGATCAATAGGAGTGGAGATTGGTTTAGCTCCAAGTTTACCAGCCTCAGGTGGAGGTCAAGGACATATTTACGCTGAGAAATGAAGATACCATCCTTAGATCTAGCAACTTCACTGCCCAAAAAATACCGAAGATCTTCCAAATCCTTGATTTCAAATTCAGAGTTGAGAAACCTTTTTAGTTTACTGACCTCTTGAGTGTCATTACCCGTAACCACAATATCATCAACATAAACTATCAAGAAAGTCACCAGAGAGCCATTTCTCTTCAAGAACAGGGTATGATC